TAAAATACATGTGTAAATATTTTTAGACATGTAATATTGTGCAAAGAATTGCAGAACAAACTCATATGAACTGTATTTTGTATAAAATTGTGTGTTATATGAGTTTGGATTGTTGTTATATGAGTATAGATAAATGGACCTGGTGTGGTCAATGTTGTATGATTGCACAAGTTACGTTTTAGATAGAGGTTCCCTTACAAAGAGACTCTACCCGAATTTTGTGAAGTTATGAATTTTGATAAATGGGGCATATCGGCTTAGTATCGAGTTACACGGTATCCACGGGTATTTCGCAGGTTGATAGGTGATCAACGGATTAACAAAGGACTCTCGATTTTTGGGGCATCACATGACTACTGTGTTTTGTGATAGTCAAAGTGTAATCCATTTGACCAAAAATCAAATGTATTATGAAAAAGTCAAGCACATTGATGTTAGGTATCACGTTCTTCATGAGGTTATGGCTCAAGGTATTGTTGTAGTGAAAAAAGTTGCTACAGTAGAGAACCCAACAGATATGTTTACTAAGTCGGAACCAATGCTCAAGTTCAAGCATTGATTGGACTTAATTAGTATTTGCACTGTTTGAATTGGACCGTATGAGATATTGGCAAAAACAGTAGTCAAAGGTCACTTTGATTGAATGGCTTGCTGGAATGTAAGCCAATGTGGACATTTGTTAATTATGGCTTGTATTTGAATTCTACTAATTGAATTCTATTTGAAAGATTCATGCGGGAAAGAACTCAGTGGTGTTTGTTTGGGATTTAAACATCTCAAAGTTTTTATTTTACATGAGAGTTCTTATTAAAGAAGTATTTTATTTACTTTGGAATTACTTGGACCATGACTCACCGTCTAACACGTGACGGACATCATGGTGTTTTGACTTTTGTGATTATTTAGCCAAAATTGGCTTTGCCAAGAAGTATGAAGAAATAAAGGTAGGAGACGTCTTCTCTAGCGAATCGGTAAAACGCCAACGCCAACGCCAGTTGGGATTTTGCTCTATGTTATTTTGGGTCGTATTCATGAAAATTAACCTTGGTGGAGAGAGTATTTTTTTTGGCACTATTTATTTATTATAATAGTGCGATAGAGTTGCAACGTTCTCTTTTGTGTTACTTTTGTTTATTGAGAACGGTCTTTGTAATCTCCAATTTTTAATAGTGAAATCTTGCTGCTATATTTTGTTCATAACCAAATCACGTAAATCTTGTGTGTTCTTATTTTTTTATTTCATTGTGTTATTATTTTGCTTGTGACTTTACTTCATAACACAAAAGAGTCATGACAATTAAAATTTATAATACAGATATATTCATGTTAATAGTAATGCAAATTAAGATTTTATTCATACAGATAAATTGACCTAATATAATATTGAAAATCTAAGATTTATTAAAACATATAAATTCAAAAGAAAAGAATCGTGAAAAACAAAGTCTATAGATAAATTCATTAAATTCCCAATTTTTTTTGTTGTAATTCAAAAGATATTATATAGATGAGACAGTTACAATGTCATTAACTGGCTTCTTATCCATGCAAGTTTTCGACAAATGCTTTCTTTCTGATACGTCAAGATGATTTTTTGTTCTATGACAACTCAATGCATCTAAACTCAATGAAAAATGCCTCAATTTCAACCACTAGGTCATCCTTGATCATGCTTCTAATCATGTCCTTCCTCATAGTCACGACTTCATGCCACGTTCTTTTTTTGCCATCACCTTAAACCCTTCACACCTTCAAAATTGATCATATCAATCCTTTTTATTTTGTTCATTTCTATGAATTGCATATTCCCAGACCCTTTTCCCTTACTGTATTCTCACTCTCATGTCATCTATCTCTCCATCTCTACAATAATTTGCTATAAGGTTTATGAGATATTGCTAGTTTTATGTAATTGGTTTTGTCATACAATTCATTTCCTTCACATCTTCTTCATAAAAAAATCTTGCTAATGGAGGACGACCTATGCTTTTCAAAAGTAAGGCATAATGTGTAAGTCGAAAGGAGTATATTAGTGCAAAAACCTTCTAGAAAAAAATTAAAAATAGATTATCACAGCTATACTACCAATTTTCTTAACAAGAAAGTGCAATTATCCAAAAAATAAACACATGTTGTTAGGGGAAAAAAAGTCAGCAGGCTCAATTAATCTTCAAGTGAGAAATTACTCGGTTGCAACAAAAATAACTATCGATCCTCAATGATTAAGGCCACTCTTACATTCCATCAATAATATGTTATGGTAAAGCAACTGAAGCCTTCAAATTAAAGCTTTGATGAATATCACACCTGCCAAGAGTTCAATAGGAAAATCCAATGTGTTCCTAATAAGCAACATATGAGTTTAACAGCTCATTGAAGTGTGAAAAAAATATTAAAGGACCGTCATATCATTTACAAGAAGTGCCTAGTAAAAAAAAAAAAGGTTCTTCTAAACCTCACTAAAATATGCTTCTAGGAAGATCTTGATGAAATATTGTACTTGTAAAGTCACTTCGTTATTTTTCTTCCAAGTTATTTTTTTTCCCAGTAATTGTGAAAATCATGATAGGATCACTTACAACAACCACAAAAATAATCAAATAGATAGATACAATAAAAAGTTTAGAGGATCGTTCAAGCACTTATTTTCCCAATATAAAGGGCACAGGTATATGGAAACTCTAAAAATTCTATAGAAAGAGTATATGGGAACATGGAATAGTTCATCTTCAATTCATAACTGAGTGCATAGATTCATTGAACTGCATAATTACAGTTCAAGTACTGCAAAATTAGATTTACTTAATAATAGTAATCAAAAATATAAATGGAATTTAGTTGGACTAATAATGATTAAATGGACTATATAGTAAGGAAATCAAAAGTTTTTCAAGGTATAGAAGATGAAAGGACTAATATTATGAATAACTAACATTTTACAATAGTATAAATATAAATATAGATTTATTAAAAATGAATGAGTGGTAAGAAAAAAACGAGAGACATATGAAAGATCACTTAATAAATAAATGTATTTTATAATGAACATCATTTATTTTATACTTATTTAGATACACGGTATTTTGAATATTCAATAAATGTTAGAAGGTAAAAGAGTGAAACAAAAGTTTTTTCATTATGTGTACATTTAGAAATAGTATACATTTATTGAGATATATATCTAAAATAAACTAAATGAATGCGATTGAAAGAAATCATGTTATATCTACACTAAACTAATTGAATTGTACCTCAACCAATCTCTTGTTCGACAAGTTATTAGGTAACATATTGTTTTGCACAAGATACAAAGACAAACCTTTTGAAAACTTTTATTGTTGGTTATTTGAAAACCAAAAATCTCACACTTATTACCACAGTTTTTGAATTCACAAGCCGAACAAGTACAAATGTGAACCCACTAGACCAACCCTCTGAACCCACAAAGCCACACTCTAGTACAAGTTTTTTCTAGTAAAAACAAATGAGCGGGGGCGGATTTGGCATGGGGGCTGTGGGGCAGCTGCCCCCACTGAAATTTTAAAATATTTTAGAGTCTAGGTGTAATTTTAAAAAATTTAAAAATTTTTAAACTTACCCCCACTAAAATTTTCTTAAAATCTATGGTATACTAATGTAATTTCTAAATCTTAAAAGACAACTTTTGGCTGATCCTCACATTCAACGCCTGCCTTTTCTTTTTTTTTTTTTTTTTCCGGTAACTCCATAAGCTCTCCTGAGGTCCTGCCATCTTCGTCTTCCTCTCCTCTGTTCTGTAAGTCATCTTCAGACTTCAACGGTTCAACCAACGAATCAGTTCAGCCTCTTTTTTTTGTTAGTTCCTTTAGTGGATTTAATTGTTGTGCAAATTAAATTTGAAAAACCCTAGAAGAAATCAATAGTATTCGTCATGGGACAAGGTGAGTTTCAACTTCTCTGCCTCGAAATTAATCTTAAATCAGATTTTTATAATCAAAAAATTAGTTTAGTTTATGTAGAATTTATGGTTGTTTGGTGTATTATTTATGAATTTATGTAGGTTATCTTTGTTTTGTCTTAGGTCACCAATCAACTATTTTGGATTTTGTTGAAGCTCCTGTTCAGATTGGCTATCTGAAATTCTTGGTTAGTGTTATATTTCTTCCCTATGATTAAATTTCTTTAATTGATTTTTTGAAATTCTAATTTGGATTATATTTTAAATTTATGGATTATATTTTGATTATGTGTAGTTCATTATCTCATTTGTTACAAACTTAATGACAAACTTTTAAATTTGAATCTAATTAGACAAATTTATTTTTCAATCAGCTATGGATAAGTTTCTTATACGAAAATCAACATTGAAACAACTACCTCCTAGTCAAGAAATAGATGATCGTGGTGATGACATACGACATTGTTTTAATCAAAGTTGTGAAGGAATTAACTTAGAAAATCTTCCTGCAGATCTTGGACTAAGAATTAGAATTTTGGATTATCATCCTAAATGACAAACTAGCACTTATTTTACCTGTTGCCACTGTAATAGTCGAAAGAGCATTTTCAACAATGAACATAGTAAAGAATCGATTGCGCAATCGAATGAGAGATCAATGAATGAATGATTGCTTAGTTGCATATATTGAGAAAGATGTTTCAAGTTTCATTGAAAATGAAATGATTATGCAATGGTTCCAAAATATGAAAATTCGTCGAGAACAATTTTAAGGTTTTATTGGATGTTCGAGAGTTGGGAGCTCCTTTTGTACAGTATCTCGAACACTAAAAGATATTTTTGATGTGAAATTTTTTTGTTGCCTTTTTTTGTACATCACTTATATACATGAGTTGCTCCTCTAAATGACATTCTTTTGATGTAATTATGTTTATAAACAATTTATCAAGAATACATATTTTGATAAAAACAATGTTACAATTATACTTTGAAATTTAAGAATAGGTTGTCCCCACTTAGTCAAAATCTTGGCTCCGCCCTTGCAAATGAGTACAAGTTGTATCTACTTCTTGGGTGCAAAACTTGACTTGATCTTCTCTACTTCCTCGGTATCAATTTGGAATGCTATTGTCAACACATTATCTGGCACCGGCGGTGTAGCTCCGAATAGTGTGGCGGCGATGACTTGAACCCCAGGCAACTGACTATTGAACCCGGCAATGATAGCGGCAGGAACCTTACCATTATTCTGTTGGAAATGGACAAGACCTCTTGGGAACACAAAGTTCTCACCTTTCATGATGTGCTTGGATATGAGGACATTGGCAGTGGTTATGAATCCAACATCCAATTCACCTTCAAGAACGAAAATTATCTCGGTGGCGCATGGGTGGGTGTGTGGTGGATTAGGCCACCCGGGGCATAGTCAATGCGTGCCATCGACACTACAAGAGTGTTGAGACCAGGGATTTGCATTACATCGGCCGGAGTCACTATGGAGCCAATTGTGTTGCTGATGACTCCTGGTTTGGCTAGGCCAGCAAAAAAGAAATCTGTCGCGCTGGCGTTCTTTTTGCAGACAAACCCGTTTATACTTATACCTGTTTCATGCATATACACATTATTCAATTGAAGACTAATAATGTTGAGAACCACATCATTAAATCAAAATTTTATGTCTAAATAATATTACTCATAATAAAATAATGTTGAGAACACCGTTATTTTTAGACATAATAATGTGGAGAAAGGATTCGTATTTAGATTGTTCATATCGTTATAGGTGTTTTCACAAGTCAAAAACATTATATGAAAAGGTACACTAATAAATAATATTCCTATCGCTCTAGGTGTTTTCCCTATGGTTTAGCTGAGTAGTCCAGATTATAATAAATGGTGTTATATAATAAAGTTTACTTGAAAATAAAGTTTCTATGTTGTTTTCATATTGTCTTTAGTTAAGTGACTGAATTAGTCAACCCTGTGGAGAGTGGGTAAAAGGTTGAATAATTTAGAAAAAATATAAGGACATCTTCCCCGATCCAAACCTACTCTAAAGAATCTCACTACTTTTCTACTAATTAAAACTCCATTTATATCTTCTCAATAAAAAAAAACTCCATTTATATCATTGTACACAATAATAAATATAGGTGATTTAAAATCTCAAATTTTGTCTCTGACTAGGAGTAACTTCGTACTTGAAGGTACGGTGTAATGGAAACAGGTTGATAGAAATGTTGGTGGCCGTTTGATGAATATATTTGATACTGTTGGATGAATTTATAGAAGTTTGCTCTGTTTTATATTATAAATTATAGATTATTCATCTAACTAGATAAAATAATTGAAATGTAGAAAGATATTTTTAGGATGCCTTCCTCCCCAATTACTTAACTCTCGTATATATGATTTATTAAAGTGAAAATTTCATTTACACCACTTTTAGTTGGATCCTGAAATTTTGGTGCACTCCCTTCTGGTTCATATGTTCATTTCTACCACACCTTTTACCATGAATCTCTGGCAAATCAAAAATGCTTCTATCATGTAATTCTTTTTTCAAAAATATCTATACTACCCATTTATACTATCATTATTTTTTCAAATATATTATATCTATTGAAATTATTTTTGGCACAAAATAAAATTATTCAACATAATAAGGTCAAAAATTCATACAAACCAAAAAAAAATTAATTTTAACATTTTACCAAAAATAAGGTTAATTATAGTCATTTTCAATTGATCCCAATTAATTTTTATCATTTTAATTTTGTTGTAATATTAGTCATCATATTTTCACTCATTTAATAAATTTTAATATTAATTAAAAATAAAGTTGCATCCATTCAGATTCTGAGGTTGAACAAGTAGCCATTCCCCGCTCTTCGACATTGTCTATGTGACCATTGCTTCTATCTCTCGGTTCTCTCTTTTCAACTTCCCACTCCCTTTCAACACTACTAGAATATTAAACGGTTAGATGGGAAACGGGGTGGAGATATTCGGTGGGGATAGCTATGTAAATAAATCCTGTGCATCAAAGAGGTCCTCTGCTTAGTATCTGCATATGCCAAGTGTTGTTCCTCTAGATGGTTTTGTCTGCACTAGTTTCTTGACTCATACCATAACATTTAAATTCCTAAGTGAGCTGATTTGTGCTGTGTACTTGACAGGTGTAACTTTACCCAAAATTATATATGACTTTACAGAGGGTTCACCTCCACCAACATGGTTTTATTTACCATGAAAGTTCTACTACAATGCCTTCCAAATTTATCTTGCAGCTCTAGAAAATAGAAGACATAGAAGATTAATGATACTATTTAAAACTATTTATTTGACCTAACACACCACAAATGTTGGATTGACATTGGACACCATTCAGTGCCGACTCATGCACTAGGCCATTAAGGCCATTGCCTAGGACCCCAAAATGGGAAAAACATTGTGGAAATTGGAACCAAGTATAGCATGGGGAACATTTTCGCAACTAAGGACAGGTGCAAATTTATTGGTTAATTAAGGTTATATCATGTGTAATTATTGGTAAGTAGGTCCACCCGTATCTTTTTTTTTTTTTAAATGCCTAATATATCCTCCAGTACATTAGGAACGTATAGCGTATAGCTGGCAAAAACTTTAGGGATTTATTCCTTAATATTCTATTAACATATTCATTTGAATTTCAAATTTTAGTTTCATTCATCTGATTGTGTTCTTCTCTTCCATTACAATTCTATTGACATTTGCATTTTCTTTCGACGGGCTAAATACGGCGAACTAAAACAAGTATCTCTGTATTGAATTGATTATGCGTATATATTGATGTTCGATTTTTCATTTGGGTTTATATTTCTTGTATTTTCTTTTTGAATGTTGAGATCAGTTCATTAAAAACAAATGAATGATTGAGTTCGTTGAACAATTTTTTTTTTATCTTGATTATTTGTTTGTTTGGTGATGTCGTTATCTTATGGTATACCTGGTCACCCAAGATTTTGTTGCAAAATGATACTGATGGAAAGAATTTGTTTGGTATTGTTTGTGAATTTAGTCATGTTGTATATTAGAAATAATCTTGGTAGCGAAGTAATTCTAAATGTGCCACTAGTTGTTGTTTGTGATACCATTAATTGTCTACATTCTGTTCAGAGTGTTAATGTCATCTGGATGGTCTACAGAAATTAGGTACGTAGGACAGAAATTTAATGGAAGTATAAGACAATTTTGCAATGCACTATGCAAATATTCTATTGAGATTGGCTTGAAGTTTAATTATGTGAAGAATGATAGGTCAAGAGTTACTGTTGAATGTGCTTCGAAATATAATCATTGATGTGAATGGCATGTTCATGCTTCAATACAGAGGGCTAGTAATTATTTTTCCATACGAAGACTTGACAACCAACACACTTGTGGAACTGTTGTACACAAAAATCAGAGCAAGTGTTTGTATTCGAATTTGGCTACTGAGCTTATTGTTGATAGTTTACGTGAGGAGCCTTCTAAACTTGCTGTAGAAATAGTTTCTCATTTCCGTTTAGATTACAAGCTGACAATCCCTTAGGACAGTGTATGACTTGATGTGGAGAAAGCTAGAGGTTTGTTATTTGGTGATCATTCGTTATCTTACCACTAACCAGAATGGTATTTTCAGTGTACCAACAATACAAATCCTAACAGCCTTATCAAGCTTGATTGTGATGATGAGAACAAGCATTTCGAGAGGTTGTTTGTTGGTTTCAAAGCTTGTATAAATGGATTTAATTTATGTCATCCCATGTTGTTTCTCGATGACACTTTTTTGAAGGCGAGGTTTTAAAGGAACATATTATTAGTTACTACAAAGGATAGGAACGAAGGTAAGTAATATTAACCCTTTTTTACTATTACTATTTTTTTTTACTATTGAATGTGATTATTTTATGTAATAGTTTATATCCGCCGAGGCAAGTTTATTTCTTGTTGCATTTGTTGTTGTCGACTCTTAGAATGAGTCTAATTGGCATTGGTTTTTGCAACACTTAGCATAGATTGTACATGCTAATTGACAAATCACGTTCATTACTGATCGTAATGTTGGTCTATTGGAATCATTGCCCAACGTCTTCTCTAGTTATCATCATGCTTTTTGTTTGCAGTATTTGAAGTCAACTTTGTGAGATAAATTTAGTGGGGAATAGTTTTCAAACGTATTCAGGGAACATATGGTGTTCCTGTTACGAGAGTGCACGTATGCCCCAACCAAGCATATTTTTTATGAGAAGATGGATATTTTTAAGCATGAAGGTGGGCATTACATAGATAGATTCCTTGCTAACCTTCTATGTGAGACTTGGGAAAATACTTTTTTTGAAAGCCGTAGGCATGGTGAGATGTCATCAAATGCTACGGAGTCATTTAATGTTTGGATATTGAAGGCACGACATCTTACTATTACCAACATGGTGGACGCAATAAAGGGGCCAAATCAAGAATCAAATGGATTGCAAAAGAAAATGGCACTAAAATGGAATAGAGATGGAAACCAAATTAAAATTTACATTTGACGAAGGTAGAACATGGTTAGTTAGATTGTCGACTATGAAATAAACTTTCACCCTTCTGTTACTATGGATATTTATAATATGACATGTTCATGCCATCAGTGGTAGATCAATGGCTTTCCCTATTCTCATGTCATTTTAGGCATTTAGAAGAGTGGGAAAGATCTCAATGATTTTATCGACAAGTTCTACAATGTGAATTCTTACAAAATGGCATATTCAAAAGCTATATATCTTATTCCTACCATTGGTCGCTCTGAATGTACTGTTTCAAATGCCGAGGTATTGCCACTAATTATGAAGAAACAACCTGGTCGTTCGAAGAAACGTAGGATCCATTCTATGGGTGAGAAGGTTAAAGATTTGTTGTGGTCGGTGTAGTCGATTGGGAAATCACAATAAGAGGAGTTGTAATTAACCTATGTAGCTATTTTTTTTTTCCTTTAAATTTTTTCATTCACACGATTGTTTCATTCACATGAAGATATTCATTGGATCTATTGCGATAAAAATGTTAGTTGCACTTTATGTTGTTGGAATTTAATAATTTGCTCGTGGTGGAATTCTACAATTTAATATGGATGTATGGTCAATTACTGATTATAAGTGCTACTGTTACTTGTTTACTGCTATTGGTACTATGATTGCATTTTGAAGTTATTGTGTGTTTATGCTCATGGTACTGACCCGGTCAATGTGGTGATATGATGCTGTTACTGCGATGGCATGCTCATGTTATTGTGGTTTCATGATCAAGATATTGTGTTTTTTTTTCACCATGTTTTTAATGCAGTTCTATGATAATGTGTTTTTATGATCATGATATTATGTTTGTCTGCTTATGTTTTCTAATCCAGTTTATAAACATTCAAAATTTAAACAATTTTATATATTACTAAGACATTGATCATATTGACATTTAAAATATCATCAAACCATTTACAACTTGTTCCAGAGTTGGCTTTCAAAAAAAAGAAAAAAGAATAAAATAAACATAGATAAAACATGATGAGTCAATGTGAGCTTTTGTTGTTTGCTCTTTAAGTTTTGCCCTCTCGTTAT